GTACAATATTTTATTCGTTTTGTATTTGATACATTTAATAATAATATGTATTAGGCACTGTGTATGTATTACGCACTACCTATTGGATAATCAATAAAACGTGTGTCTTAGTTCGACGCGATAATATTATGATTTGCATCATGATATTATTGTTTGACAGTTTATGTATTCAATTATTATCCGCAAAAGCGTGTGTAGGAGTTATTTAGCGGGAGAGTTCCTCCAACAGCTTATGTGGCTCACCTCTTTGAATATGTACCTAAACCGTTAGTTTGTTTCTATCGATTATTATTTTTTTTTTTATAATAAAGTCTTATTTATACCTACTGGTTTTTAGACAAGATATATATTATATCGATTTGCTGATTGGACTCCTCGGAGATAGTGCAACGCCCGACCAAACTTAGGTTGAAGTTATTGACACTTTTTATATCCTGTTTGAAAATATTTCCCAATACAAAAAATTGGGGTAATTTGAAATTAACCTCCTGTATACGTGTATGTCCTCTAAAGCCTAGAACTTCCACTGCAGTATGCACATTATACGTCAGATACACAATTATTCAAGCTTGACATCGCACGTGTGTGTATGTTTTATGACACTAATGTCATTATTTATTAAACTCACAAACAGACAACAGAATATACATATATAATAGAAAATATTATTCATATTAAGTATTTATTAAGTACTTCATTTATAATGATGTATCACAAATATTTTCAACAACTTTTAGATAACTTAAAAGAAATTGGGACGTTAGATGCAGTTATCATATTTTATAAGTGAAATTCATTAAATATTGATCAAATATGTCGTGCATTTTATGAATATATATTTTTTATTGGTGTTGATCTGAATTATGTCTGGAATTATATGTTTAGGATTTCCATAATTTTATACACATCCGTATATGTTTATTTCATATCAAATAAAAACCGCAAGTACAATATAATTTCACTTTGAACGCGATTATGTGAAGAAAACAGATCAACGCATAATACGTGTACTCGGGAAAACTCATTTAAACTATCTAATCGAGTCCCTTATATAAATACAGAAAATTAATGTTAACACTTCTATGCGACCGCCTCCTAATGACAGTTTTTTTATTATAGTAACATGTGTTGCCGCGTGTATTTCGCGATCATTGTTCTGGGGAGATCAACACAAGTGTTGTGGGAAATAGGGACGCTTTCTTGATTAAGTTATACCATTAAGTGCCTATATAATATGACGTGCAACTATACTAGTATCTGTGGTTGTAACCGGCCAGATCCAACGCAATACATACCTACAGTAGATAAGTTCAATGGGGCATTACTGTCAGCGCAACAATCATGCAATACTACGATCCCTGTCATCAATCCCAGACATGTATGGATGAGCATATAAAAAGCCTGTTTGACTTTTTCACACGATAATGGTTATTGTGCTGTGCCCAGCATACTAGCTAGCTAGTATTAAATATTAAATTTAATCTAGTATGCTAAAATTATAACTAGAATCTATTCACGACATAAGGTTCCATACATTAGAAAATATACTAGGCATAATTATTTATTATTATCATATTATAACAACTATGAATATATTAATTATAAGTATAAACTATAAAAAGAAACTTAATAAAAAAAAAACACATTTTTTTAAACATATGAAGTACAAAATACGCGGTAGTTGGTCATGCTAACATTGAAAACATTTTCTTTAGACTGATTTATGATGTTAAAAGGTGCGAAAATAGGGCCAATTCTATTAACGAAAACCGTGTACTCACTAGCGCCATTCCTCAAACTAGTGAACCTATTTTTTGTAATTCACACCAACCTAAAAAGAGGCCGGTACACGAGCTACCATGATAGGGATAGAACAATAACTATGATCGTGTGAAAAAGGCTTAAAAGTATTATATGTCGTTGTTTTAGTTTCGTTGTATAATTAGTGTAGAAGAGATAGGTAAAAAATGGGGTTAATTATGAAAGACGAGGTAACAAGCGCAAGGTCGCCTGCAGGTGAAAATTCTTGGGGGGGGGAGGCTATAATTATGTAATGGATTTTGCGAATTTGGGATATTTTTTTTTAACTTGCAGAAAAGCTAAGAGGGGAGTTCGGGTGTTCGGGCGAAGGGGGGGGGGATAAGTGTAAAACCGCAACTTTTGGAATCGCTGAAACTAAATCACTTCAGTTACATTTAATCCCATTAAAATATTTTTTACGTTTGGGCATAACGGGATAAGTCATAGGATGATATTTTAATATTAGTATTCCACACGTGAAAAATGGCATTAAATGTAACTGAAGTGATTTAGTTTTTCAGTGATTCCAAAAGTTGCGATTTTCCACTTTGCCCCTTTGCCCGAACACCACAGAATTATGTCCTCTCTCGCTTGCGCTAAATATGCTAAAAACAAACTCCCTAGCGGGTTTAAATTATCGTTATCGTTATTGTCATCATTATTCAATAGCCTAAGTATAAAACGGAAGGCTCAAGAGCGCGTACGTTGTGCGAGTCATACGTTACCGACGTGCTGCCCCGCAGGTACCTATCGCTTAACACTAGTGTCTAATTATTATATGGTTATCAAACGACGTTTAATTATGAATCTAAACTCGATACTGCACGGTGTCGCCTATTTATGACATTAGATTAGTTGAAACTGTTTTACAATTTCTATTCGCACTGAATGCATACGCGATGGCCGGTTGATAATTTGGTATTTGCAATTATTCCTCTGCATCGGGCTGAGTAATAATAAACCTACGTTTGTTACGCTATACATAAATGGAGTATTATTCGGCGAGATCATGTTGTTAATATTTGTTTTTTCATCCACTTAGTGTGCTTCGAGGTCGTCGTGTTATAAAAATAATAATAAAATCATCGAATTTTTTACAATTAACAAATGCAACCGTATGTTTGCGCGCAAGTCTATGTACATTTTGGAGTGCTCGCGCGGCGACTGGCCAAAGAAAACAATTTTTTATTTTATTTTCAACCCGTAAATCCAGTTATTATTATTACTACTCTGCGACTGCAATCGGATTATCGTTTAATTGACCAATGCGTTCTCGGGTCGTTTGAATATTCGGGTAGAGTTATTTGTGCAATAGACAAAACATATTTTCTCACGCTGTTGCTTTGGACACATTTAACAGGAAATTTTCATCGGAAAGACGTCGCAGAATACTTTTTGAGACGCGAAGCAAAAAACACACCGGAAAATTATATACTACATACCTACTAGCAATGTCCACGGAGTGCGGGTGGAAATGCCGTGACGGTTCGAAAGAGTCCGTCTCGTTCGGCGTTTGTGAAATCGAATTTGCCAAAAAAAAAACCTTCATATAACTCGATAAAATCCAACGGAATCCGGTTCAGTTTTACAGCTGGAAAACGGTCAGGCGCATATAAAAGGTTATACTTTATCTAGTTACACCACGTGATCATCATACGGAAAATTATTTAGGTAGTGTCAAAAAAATGATTTTTGCATGGCCCGCGTCCGTCGACATCGCCAAACCGTCGTTCAAAACACCGTATAACGTTATTTTTGCAGGTTTAGACGGTCTAGAGGGATAAGACGTTTTTGATTAGTTATTATTATTTGTTTTTTTTTTTTTTACGAAAATACTTGCACTACTATACACTTCTGAGTAGCACATACATTTAGGTCGGTCGGAACGCGACGAAAATCTTTCCGGGACCACGTTATGAACCAGTGCAAAATTTAGTAGCTCGAAGATACCTCTGTACTTTCAAATATTTTAAGTATTTAAACAAACTCAACGGAATATTTCTGCTGTTAACAAAACACGCGTATAAAAGAAGTAGCCAAAACAAATAAAAATGTATTAACAAGATACACGTTTTACGCGTTAGCTATCAAAATCCCTTCTTAGTGAGAGCGGTATAAAAATTCAAATTTCAAGTAATTTCTTCCACGCGTTTAGTCTGAACATTGGTTTTCTCTCATTAGTTACGATTTTAGATACAGATATAGATATGTAGATAGATAAACAACCAATTGAAAAAAAATATAAATAAATACACCCATAGTCAGCTTATATACTCGTGGAAGTTGAATTACAGAAATCGTATGCGATTGATTTAGTTTTTCCGTTTCACGTTAAAAACTTGCTGCTGTGTGCGGGCGGTGGAAAAACCGGCGCTAAAAAATGGTGACCGGTGCCAGTCAGCCAGGACGACAATAATCCTTGAGTGAAATTTTCATAATTATCATAATAATTCGTGAGATAGGGTGGTGGGAGAGGGGGACTGCCGAAAACTGGCTGCAGTTTTACACGCAGTAACAACAGCTATGTGCGACCATGGCCAACAGCAACAACCGTAACCTATCCGTCGCATTGGAAAAAAATATATGTATAAAAAAATTATACATGCACACACGAGCGCTGCAGTGGCGAATATAAATAATAATAATTAACGATGAAAAACCACGTAGTTACGCAATCCGCCGAATATCACCTGTGCGCAAAAATCGCCAATTTTTCGAGTACGCGACCGGTTCGGACGGGGGACCGGAGGAAGCCTTGCTCGTCGCTCGCGAGAAGGGGCGAGACCGCGGTGGCTGTTTTGTCGGGGGGAAGGGGGGGGGGCCGGCGGCAAACCGTGGGTGCGGATGCCGGCCAGAGTCCTCCGTCGTCTCGACCGCCGCCGAAGGTTCGCCTTGTCTCCCCCGCGCGCGTGTTTCGCGCGCCACTCTTCCTCCCGGCGCGCCGGGACGCCTGCCCGTCCGTCCACTACGCCGCCGGCGGCGGCGGCGGCTCCCTCACCGCGCGCGCCCCTTGTCCCCCGGGGGACGGCGTCCGTCCGACCGTGTGCAGCGGCGGAATCCGGCGTCCAACACCGTCGTCGTCGACGCCGCCGCCGCCGCCGCTGCGCGCGGCGTTGTCAGTTCGGGCGGGCCGCCGCCGCGACGTTCTTGCGCGCGCCTTCCACGCCGCCCGGTAGGTTTTTTTTTTGGCGCCGCGCTACGGCATCGGTGTGCGGTAGTCTGTGTTTTTAGCGTTCACAGTCACTCGATCAGTCGACCGGCAAAGTCATCGGAGGCCGGTTGAACTCCCGTCGAAAGCGCGTGATAACGCACATATATATACACACACGTCATATACAACTCACTCGGCGTATACATACATAACACACACACACACACAGACACACGTCCACACATATATAAACCACACGCAAGCACGATACAATTATACGGGAATATAAATATATGTATATATATATATATTAAAAATATACACGACATAAAATAAAAAAAAAATTGTACGAGCGCAGTACAAAAATATTCGCGAAACTTCGCCGCCGTTACCGCGAATAGTGTCCGTTATCCGCCGGCGTCGCGTTTTAACCGGGTTTTGTGTAAAAACACAATACTCGTGACAAATAATTACTATTCAAATTTTAATTTTTTTTTTAAATTTAAAATTTTTTTTTTTTCCGTGTGCGTTCTCTCGATATCCAGTGCCGCCGTATAACGCACACAATAGAGGCGTCCAAAATGAGTCCGTTTAGCTAAGGTACAGACAACAATAATTGACTAAGAAAAAAAAATTTAATCATAATTATATTTTGTTACAAACATGTGTGTGTACGTTAAGTTTTAAACGCAGTAAATAACATTATTACGACTATAATTTTGTATCGTTACAAATTACAATAGTAATTGTTATGTTATTTCGAATCACGAATTTCCGAGTGTGCATCATCGTATTATTCTCTTGTCGGCGCATCCAACATCGCTCCTGCAATAGCATGTAAATATAATATTACAATATTATATGGAAACATTTATTATTATTATTATGAGTTATTACAATATATTTTATCAAATAAAACGCTCGGCGCAATATATTATAATAATAATAATCATAAAGTATAACATATTTTTTACTATACCTACCGCCGCACGCTATTATAAAATGTCGACGGACTTTTATTCGTCTGACGGTATTATTGCCGTTGTCGTTATTGTTATTACTATTATTATCATTATTATATTGTATTTATGATTATCAACGGCCGGTGTAATATGAAATTCGGGTGTTGTTTCAACAGCGGATAACGGCTATTTAAACACGCCGGGTTCATTATAATTATTATTATGCCGTCGATTGAGTAAATACAATAATTGTAGGCTTTTCCCGTAGGCATTGTTTTTGCTGCGGTTGGCCCGTTTAGAAAAACGTTGCGCCGGACCGATGCATGTGCTTGACGGCGACGGCTTACGCTTGTTCACCTTAACCTACGCACAACTCGCAGCCTTCGGATGCGCAATTCGTCCTTCCCCTCTGATGCATCCCTGCCGCCGCCGAGTCCTCTCCACTTACCGACACCCTTCGGCATCGACGATGCATAATAATAAACAACAACAATAATAATAATAATAATAATGATAATACTATTGTAATACCTACACGTGCGGACGGGCCAGTAACGCCCACGCACACTCAACTTACACGCGCCGGTGTTTTTAAATTGCATACACATTGCGCCCGTTTACAAATTAATCATCTTGATCGTCACGTTTGCACATTTTGAAAAAATAACTAAGTTTTGCGTTTAAAATGAAGTTTTACAATCAACATAACATTTATATTGAGTTTTACATAGCTGTTTTGATTAGATATTCTAACGACGATTGATCGACGCGAGGCTATTGTCGGGTATTTTGTTTGTTTTTCGGTGGATTTTTTTGCATTTTTGAAAAAAAACTTTCTATTTAAACGATCTATCTCGTTCTATTTCTTCTAAAATTAGCGACGCGACGCTGACCCCGTGTAAGACGCGCTTAGTTGTGCTATGCCGACAGACTACGATATTTGTTGTATCAGGCACGACAAATGCGTTCGATTATACTTCATTATAATAAATAAACGCTAATTAATAAACACATATTTTACAATGATAAAATAAATCCGGCAACTGCTCGCGGTGCAGTGATTCGAGTATTTAATAGTAACATAATTGTTAATAATAATATGCATCCATTATCTATTTGTTGCTTCGCGTTATCGGTTAAAAATGTGTTTAGTTGAGGTGTGAAACGAGCCTACAACACAACCGCAACCGAAACGAGGTTAACCAACACAGTCGTTGTTATCTGGCCGTATAGTCGCTCGTCATAAAAAAAAAAATATATATATATATATTAAGAATTATATTATTTATTATTCTTATGTCAAAAAACCCTTTATCTCAATTTGCCCGCGTTGAGTTTTTTCCATGTACTCCACAATAACCATATTAGGTATATTTTAATTTGTATTTATTTCCGGCCAACAGGAATTTGTTTAAATGATCTTATAATAAAAAAAGAAAACTTTGAATTATAATTGGTCATTTGTTTTGTATTTTCCATACGTCTACTAATTTGGTTATTTTTTTTTATTCGTGTATTAGTTAGTTATCGCCTTGTCGTAATCAATATGCATTGGTTTTTAATTATCAAAGTAAAAACTAAAGAAGAAACGTGTATTAACGTTGCTAATACAAAACGTCTACGCTCGAATTAAAGACATTTTTTTTGTCTTCAAATTTAATTTCCAATCGGTTGGGCCATATAATTGGCGATCGCCAACTTAATAATATAAAACATTTATAATTTTTCTTGGAAATAGTTTTCACTTCCTTAACGCCAATTTGCATTGTGCGAATTTGTGACGCTGTTTAGCGTTTTTTATTTAGGTATAATGTATGGGTAATAGCCGTAAAACAATGTCTCGTTGGAAAATTCGCAAATACATTCAATATTATGCTCTTGGACGCGGTAGCGTTTTCAAATTATATTTGTTGTTATGGTCAAGTCAAAAAATATAAATTTTGGCAAAAATAAAAAATGTCCTCGGTGTTTTTTGGCCACTTACTATTTTTCTTTACCGTGTGCGACTACTATAGTCGCTTAAAAAAAGTTTTTTATTTTTATACCATTTCATTTGGGCGGTCGAACGTGTCTCGACACTTGAACTGACAATGAGAACAAAGAACATAGTTGATCACAATAGTTTACCTATCTACCGTAAGCATAGTGAATCCGCAAAAAAACAATTGTCATTTGGTTTTGTATTTCTCATTTTAAAGTTCTCGTCCAAAGATCATAATATGCATTGTTATACACCTTTAAGACAGTTACTATACTTAAAGGCGTATGCAGTTTCGACGGTTAGATCGTCTATATAAGGACAATAATTTCAATGTTATAATTATAATTGTGTAGGATACAAACTTTGTATTGGATCATCGCTTTTTTTTTATAATTCTTGTAAACTGCAAATTAAATTTCAATGACAATAATATGATGTGTGGTAATAGTTTTGTAAAAGGTACTTGTTGATCTTTAATGTCTCAAAGTTTAAAGATTCAATTAAAATCAACGTTCGTTGTGATATTTGTTTGAACTTCTTTTGTGCAATATTGCTATAATTTTGCTTACTACACTAGTAGGTATACACAATTCATAAAGAAAAATTTTCAAAGAAGTTAAAAAAATAGAAAAAAAAAACCAATTGACAATTTTACCGACCGATTACTAAGCCAACATCAAAAACCTAAGTTTTCATACACTATTAAATGCATGAGTTGTGCAAAATCGTTTATATTGAAAGTGGTTTGCTCGAAGTAAAAAAAAAAATATGTCATCGTCGATTCTATTCATTCGCTATCAGAATGTTATGGACTTTGTGAGCATCATTTTAAGTTTTACGTTTTCTTCCGTCTATTACCGGTGGTTTTGTCATTGTTGTTTTAAATTTTATTTTATAGATGAGCACGACTATCTGTTAAATATATAAAATACAATATAATTGCCATACCGGTGTTAAACACTTCAATAGAAAAGTACCAACTTCTTCGTCTTCCCTTTGCAGAGCATTTTCCCATCACTGCGCGGTCTGCCTGTCAATAGAAGAGAGTATATACTATGATATGTGTTTAATATTAATTTATGGCTATTTTGTGGGAGCAACAAACTCGATTTATCATTTTTTTTTTTTTGTTTTTTTTTAAACAGCCGTACGTTATCCGGATGGGCGTTGTGCCCATTACAATTTCCAAAACCTAGTTTCACCAAATAATAATTATTATAATAATACACACACACAAAACCGACGGTGGTGACTCGGCGGTAGTTAAGATGTTCGCAAAAAAATGTTTGTAACAAGCCGAGACTTGATGTTGAGATCGGCTAAGCTTTCTTAAAATAATATTACATTATTATATTGAACTGTTAACGCCGGCACAAGGCTGAAACAGTTAAATCGAAACCGGTTTTTTTTTTTGGCAAAAAGAAATCTCTAGGTCTCTTGGTGTGCGAAAATTGCACGATTTCGAGGCGTTCCGTTTCGCCGTAGAACGGTCAAGAAGTTTAGCAAATAAATACGTGATGGACACTGTCTCTCTCTCTCTGCCTGCAAAACGGTATTAATTATTATACGCTATTACTGTGTATCGAATAAAGCTTTGTATATAAACACACACGGCACACACACACAGTGGCGTAACGCTTAATTTAATATTGTGTTATTATTTCGTAATGGTATACTATATGGAAACGAGATGACGCCGAGCACACGAAAATTATTGTATAATCGGTCGTCGCGATAACTGACCCCGCCGAGTTCAATGACATTTTATTGTTCCAAATGTGATTTTTATTTCGTTTTCGATTTTGAAGGTTTTTTCCTCCGTTTCAATTTCCTTTGCCGGAAGCCGATGCCGTGTATTCGACGGGATCGACCGTGCTGTACACCTACCTACTACGCGAAATTCACGCAAATAATAAATAATAATAAAAAAAATAAGCAAAATTTAACAGAGTCGAACGAAAAAATAAACGGTGTCAGAGTTTAACCACTAAATCGTTTTTGGACATCCTTGACCTTGACTGGTATTGGCACCGTATAGTGTTCATCAAGTCTGCGTGCGCGCCTTCGAAAGTCGATTATCGAATATTGTTATGAAAGAATATTTTCCAAATTTGTAAAGATAAAGAACGTTTTATATCGTTTTTTTTTATATAATATATACTTAAACCATTATTGTTATTAGTTTTATTGTTCGAATACGATGCACACACACGAGGTGTACGAGCGGTAGTTTTTGCGGCGGCGGCTTCGAGCTGTTACTTGACTTGCACCGAAATGCGCGCATGTAACCGCCGCCGAACGCACTAATCCCGCGCGTTTGTTTTGTTTGTGCGCAGGCTGTCTCAGACATGGGAAGCGAGCACTACTGTCTACGGTGGAACAATCATCAGAACAACTTGCTGGGTGTATTCAGTCAACTGCTCCAAGAAGAGTCCCTCGTGGACGTGACGCTCGCCTGTTCGGAAGAAGGTCGCCTGATCCGAGCGCACAAGGTGGTGTTATCCGCGTGCAGCGCTTACTTCAAGGCACTGTTCCTAGACCACCCGACCCGGCATCCCATAGTCGTGCTCAAAGACGTCCAGTTCGCCGAGCTGCGCGACCTAGTGGAATTTATGTACCGGGGCGAAGTGAACGTCGACCACAGGCAGCTGTCCACTCTTTTGAAGACGGCCGAGAGTCTGAAGGTCAAGGGGCTGGCCGACATGGCCCGCCCCAGCGACGCCGCCGACGACTCCGTCAGCGACCACGTCGAAATGGTGGCCGCCGACCGTGACGACGACGAGCCAGAAGATCTGAGGCCCACGAGCCGGTGTCGGACGCCGGAGGTGGGAAGTCGGACGCCGGAGCTGAAAACCCGGACGCCGGTGCTGGAAAGCCGGACGCCGTCGCCGCCGCCCACCGAAAGCGACGACAACTTGTCCATGCAAAGTGAGCCTAGCGACATGACTACCGTCGACCGACAAGAACGCTTGTCGTCTCCGCCCAGTTTCGGTTTGCCGCCGGTTCAGCAAGCACCTTTGGTAAGTAAACGAACTGCACATAACTTATTTAATATTGTACTACAATTTCAAGTTGTGGCGTTATGTATGAGACTGAGCAGAAATATTTATAGAAAATAAGTACTTCTTCTTTTCTTTTCTTAGCTTTTCAGCCCACGTAGACCATGTAGGGCATTGAAAGCAGCCACTACAATACTTCGCCTTGTAAGGGCCAGGTTCTAAGGCTTATCTGTAACAGGTCTATATAGAAAACACCATTATAGTTTATTGCCGAGCTGTACATAAATCTGCATAATTTAATGGTTCATTAAAATTTAATACAAAAATCACGGATCAATATATTTGATGTTTAAGACAACACTAAATGTTTTGAACTCTCGGTGAAATCTCAATAAACGTTCATAACATCCCGTATATGAGCAGACCCGGACTAGTAGGGTTCCAAATTCCAGCCAATTATTCTAGATCAGCGTGCGTTTCAAAATTTGTATTTATAGTAAGAGAAGCTATAAAGATGGGGAAAATCCAGATTTATAAGATTTCTGGTAATCCTATAATCAAAATTATTCTTTAAAATAGAATATTGAAAATCTAAACCTATTTTAAATCTAAAAATATTATTTAAAAACATTCAACTTGAACAATTTAAAAAATCTGAATTTTGCTTACTGTAAAAACAGTTTACTGTTAGTAAATTTAGAAGAGTCTGTCTATTTCCCAGTCATAGCTTATACAGAAAAATGTATATAGTTGGTCCAATTAAAATTATGATTAACATGGAGACACGATACATTTCTAGTTGGAATAACTAAATAAATAGTTAGTCCAACTAAATTTTAGTAGGGCCAACTATTTATTTAGTTATTCCAACTATAAATTTATTGTGTCAGAACTTCAATTGGACTAACTATACTCTTTTCCATATAAGAGCGATAGTGCACATAAACCAAAACGCATTATTCTCGTATGTGCCTGCGCAACCAGGAGATACGCTGTAGTACAGTAGCAGATTAGTTCAGTCCCACATATAGATTATCATATAGACGAATTTATCGTTCTTAATTTCAAATAATGAATAGATCGAACCAAATTAAAATCGTTTAGAAATACTGAAATTTAAATACTACCAGAGTACATTTAACCCATTGTTTATAAGGTTTCCTTACTATTTAAAATAATTACTCAAGAAATACAAGAAAATCCATTAATGGTAAAAATAAAAACTAAAAATAAATGTTGTTCTTGTTGCACGTTTTTGACAACTCAGTTTGTGTACAATTTTATTAAAAATTACATTTTTTAAAAATAAATAAAAAGTTTTCATGTGAATGCGTTGGAGTCCAAAATTGCAATCTTACAAATAAGCTAATAACAATTAATTCAAAATTAAGCTGTCCGCTGATAATGTGGTAAAAATCTTTATTCTGCTCATTTCGGTATTTCACTATGGAGAGTAAGTTATTTTTTTTAACCTCGTTATCCGTTCAGATGAAATAATCTAAACAAGATTAGATCATAAGCGTTTTTCCACGCTATTGGCGTTGCATTTACTTGCAGATCCATGAAAATACAAAAATATAAATTTTTAAACAAAAAACTCTCCCAAGGGAGCTGCTCAAATGTAATAAAATGTTTGTAAAATTGTCTGTTTTTACTTTTTAAACAAAAATCTGTTGATAGTATAGCTTTATTGACAGTACTAATGATTATTATTTATAATCTTCTAATCAAATTAAGCCTTACGTCACTTTTTCTGGTAAAATTTATCATTAAATATTTATATTTTAATTTCACTTTTAGGTTATAACTTTGAGAAACATATATTTTATTATAAAACTTCCAAGCAATTTTGTTATGTTTCAGTAATTTTTTTAAACTCTAATCTAAATTGTACACTTTATTGCACACGCATTTGATGACCACTAGGAAGTTATTAATTTATGAGACATATCGTTTTCTATACTATTTTTGGTTAATTATAATGTTGCCAAAAAGTATACTATGTTTATTAGAGCTAATAAAAATTGCAACATAAAACAAAAACGTTTGAAATTAAAATATCAATATTCATTAGGTTATTAATTTTTAAACTTACGTATACGTATTACATTATAATTTGTTATTCCTTTTTATTAGCCAAATAATTAGTTTTATTTCTACTGGGGAGTTTTACAATACTATACTACAGTCTAGGCCCTGATCTAGACATTTTAAATCATAAAATACCTCCCTAAAATTGTTTTCCCTGTTTACTATTACTACTACCACTAAAAACCACTCGATCGAGTAATAATACTACAATTTTTTGAAATTATTGGTGCCACAATTTGATTTTTACCATCACAGGTGACCCATAAATAATTGACCACATTTAAAATTTCGGCCTCATTTTTTGAAGAAGCACATGGGCAACTCCAGAGAGCATATAAAACATTTATAGTTTTTTTATATTTATTTTATATTTCACCTAATTAATTTAGCTGTTCCTTCCTATAACTCTCTAATAACTTTTTTCCTAAAAATATTTCCCAAAAAAAAATTGCTGTTAAGAGTGTGTATTCGAAGTGAGATCCTTTTATTTGGAGGCTATAGGCACGTGCCGATCTTGCCTAATGGGAAATATGGCCCTGTTACAGCTTGTATAAGTGTTTCCTTCCCAAGTACCAGCAGCAGTACTTAAAAAATTAAAGGCCATTTTAGTGAGCAGACCATGAAAATGTAAAAAAAAAAATGGCACATATGACACCTTTTTAAATTTACTATTAATTTTAATTTATTGACATTTCAGTACAATTGACTTTAACACCTTGACAATAAATATACGTTTAAACAATATTCAAGTAGGTAATTGGATTTATAATGTTAAATACAAATTTTCCCATAACTTCTTTTATCAAAATTGGCTCTTTGAGTTTGTACAAATTAATATTTCAAGCACGATTTCGGCTGATAATAAACGGGTTAGAATTGGTAAAACTACCTTCCACTTTTCGTAAAAATCGTCAGCTCTGTCACTTATCTAGATTTTTATACGCTTAAATAGTATAGATGATTTTTATATGACAATTGGTAAATTGTGGTTAGCTGACACTACTTGTGTTATCTTACATATAACCACGATTTAAGATAATTATCTTAAATTGTTCTTATCATATTATGTAAATTAAGGGAGGAGGTCGGTTATCAACAAGTAGTTTTTATACTTACAAATTGTTTTTATGTCTATGTCTTATGGTCGAACTGCAAATAGGAGTCACATGTTGAACCAATGTGGAATACAGGCGATTTAGACCTCTAATCACTATGATTTTTACTTATATTGTGAAACTTAAATTAATGAAAAACATGTTGGTCTTACACTTATACATGTTTTGCGTTGTAAGTTATAACCGACTGAAACGTTTATCAAATGACGAGTCAGCTAACAACTGAGTACCTAATTAAACTATTTAGGTTATTGCAATTAAGTATTTTACATTGTTTTGTATATTTTGTACACATTATCAAATAAATCTTTTCACAATATTATCAATGTATCTACTAAAATATTTTAATGTCGACATTATCTATTTTATCCTTATGATAAATAAAATATTACACGATTTCTCTTTTACAGGCACCGTTGAATAACTTTAAATTAAAATAAATATAAATATTATGATACAAAGCAAATTCGTAAACCTTACAATATAATACCATTATTTTGTTAGGTATTCAATATGTAACATTGAAAAGTGTTTAATTGATTTTATGTCAAGCCATGTATGTAACTATAAATCAAGAAATACAATTATATCTCACAAGGATACGCCTAAAAAAGTATACATTCATATTCGACTTGCTAAACAGTATTGTGTCAAAAATTCGCTACATATGTAATGACTAATGATTTTTTACAACTAACCAGCATATAAAATAATTTGACTAAAAAATAATTTTGAGTAGTATTTATGTCAAGTATTTAGGGAAATTTCATATAAATCTGAAAGCAATAATGTTAATACATTTAGACAAAAAATCTTTTCAGTATTTATTGATAAAAATTATAACTGTTATAACACAGCCCAATATGTTGTTAATTAGGTATTAAAATTCTATTAATTACTAGAGTGTCGGTAGTTCGTTGAAATAATAATTCGGTTATTGATGTCTAAAAATTATCAATTCTAATTTGATTAATTAATAAGCTATTTACAACTGATTAGCATAATTTTTGCGTAGTACATAATATAGTCAAATTTCAACCCATGTGGCGTCATTGGTAAGACGTTGACTTTATTCTAAGAGTTGGCTAGTTTCCCTCACTTGAGTTCACTTTACCCCGTTATGTTTAGTAGGCGTTAAAAATTCTAATATTTAAACAAAAACTTGTAATTTAGTTACCATTTAGTAGGTATAAGTTATAAGTTATAACCATATAGATTATATCTATATGTAACTATGTCATTTTTAGAAAATAATTTAAGGGGATAGAAAGCAGTCGGTTTTTTGGTGGACGTTTTAGACATAAAGACCTTACAAACTTACACTACTTAGGATGGTCTGATTTTAATTCTGTAATAATAATTGAGCATCTTTTTTAAGTTATTGTGTGTATTGTTTTTTGATACCTTAATTAAAATTGGGTTTAAATCATATTTTAATTTTTAAAAATGTCTCAACTTTCCAATATTCTTATTATTGTTTTTTTTTAAGTAAACAGTTATTTAAAAATCTACTTCCAGAGAAAAGGGTCAATGAACTTAAAATATTTTTACAGAACTAAAACCCAATCATTCTAAGTAGGCGTAATTTTGTTAGGCGTTTATGTCTAAATTGTTTTTTTGTAAAAACTAAATGGCTCTTACTTGTAGAAAAAATTGCCTATACAAATTATTCTAAAAATAAATTGACACGGTCGAAATTTATTAAAACCACTATTTTGTTAAATATTGCCTTTATAAAACCCCTTAAGAACCGCCCACTTCTATACCCTTAAGTTCAGACTCTCGTAGATTCCCAAGGCTACATGTAAAAACTCCTACCCAAATGACCTTTTTTCCTGACTGAACAGATAGCTAAAATAAAATAGTAAATTGGTAATATTCTACAAAATTGTTATCGACCTACCTGACAATATCCCTCCAAAATGGTGGTCAAAAAATTAAATAAAAAATGCGGTTCGTTTCACTTCACTCCAAATTAAATAACAGTTTTTATTTCCAACAACCTAATCTTCACTTGTTTAGAAACTATTTAAATGAAGTACACATTCAAGTATTCAACATTATAAATACACAACAATTACAATGTTATACATACTAACTAAAAGTGTTTATACACAAAGCCGACCTAACCGAAAAATGACATCAATTTTAAAGTAGAAGTATACTAAAGAGCAAAAACCAAATATCAATAATGAATAGTTATAATAGGATTTCATAGAAAAAGTATGTTAAAAAATAGAAGTTCATTAATTTTTTTTTTTACAAATAATTTTGACGTTATGATTTATTGATTATATAATTTTATATATTATATCTATGTATTATTATCATTATTACAAATTACCATGGCTTATTTTATAAATATTAAAAACTATATTTAAACTTGAATAATTACAGTTTTAAATTCTATTTTATTTAATTAATTGTTAATTATTAATCAATAATAATTTAATTATTAAACTTAATGTTTAAAAGTTTACTTTTTAACTCGTTAATTTAGATAATATATCTACTCTGTGCAGTTGACAACACTATATTTTGTAAGATAACACTATGTCCGTGTAGGGTTTCACTTTTGCATCAGCTGTATAACATATTAATAGGGCTTAACTATTTTTGAGCAGCTTAAAGGTGCGATGTTTGGATTTCGGATGACATTTTTAAATAAGAAAATCGTGTTAAGATAACCAAAACAACGTGTAAAAATTTTCAGAAGTTTACGATATCGTTTAATCGTAGTTTAAAACCTTAAATTCTAAAATCGGTCGGCTGTATCTTGCCAAGTATTTTTGTCTACAATATTTGCGCAGCTTTTAACATTATTATTTGGTTTGCCGATCGTTATAGAACGCATTTAAACGCCTTTAGCCGACTGCGGAGCCGTTATTGCTGCTGAGCCTTAAATCTCCTGTATATGTTCATTTTTCCGGAGTAACTAAACTATGTAATGTAATATAGTCGATAAATTCTCGCGCTTTATAAAGCCGGCAATAGATTGTGGCTTTTTCCTATTTATTGTATTTTATTTATACCCCGCACTTAGCATTATCCACTGCAACGACCCATCAATGAATAGTTCATAAATTCGTTTGATATCTCAAAGTGTCCGTGGCCGGATATCGCACTGAAAGAACAAAATCATTATTTCGCTATAATATATTATTTTGTTGCATACAATCAAAAGCACTATTTTAGCAACAGTGTAACAACAATTATTATATTTATCTACTTATTATTATTTCCATACGAAAAAAAGTCTAGCCTAGCTAGCCTAACCACGTGACATTTAACCCGTGTTGTTAAAACGCTTTTATCGCTGTGCTATTGTCTATTTGTACCTATATGAAGTTATCGACCGTTGAAACTGTTAAAAAAAATGAATAGATGAAAAAAAAATTGTATACTGCACCGTATAATATATTATATTGCTACTTATAATAGTGACTGCGCGGGCACAAATATATGCGCCAAGCACGTGTGAATGCATCGGTGCAATAACCGCAAATTGTTCACAAAAACCCGTCTGAATAAAAAAAAATGTTAAAAAAAAGAATATTTTTTTTAAAAAAGGCATAACGAGTTTTTTCTGGTCGTTGCACTCAGTTTCATATTTTACGGTGTTTCGTGCAGTTAATTATTCTTAATGGATTGTCCTTAATAATATAATACCTTAAACGGTATTATAAACGGTCGTATCTCACTTTTTACTATTTTTCAGGCTAAATCATTCTAATGTGTGTTCTTGTATTATTTGTCTTAAATGTAACAAAAGTAAAATAAATCTCAATCATTTGAAAATGACAGATACGACCTTATTTGATGGGGATTTCGAGTTCACTTCAACTGATTAAAACATTTAATTACAAGGTTTAAATATTTTCGGACAAGAACTGTAACCGATTTTTGGTTTTCGGCTCAAACCATAAAAAATGTTTATCATATTTTTTTTATACCTGAGGAATTTGTTATTATTATTTTATAATTTGTAAGCAGTGCTGTCTTTACCCTAATGGCACGTTGGACACGAGCTCAGGGCCCCTGGCTTTATGGGGGCCCCGATTATTATAATTTACATCTATTACAATTACTTAACGGTTTTTTTTTGTTTTCTTAATGGCCCCCAATCCCTATGTTCCCATGCCCTTTGCATAGCCTAAGAAGGCCCTGGTTGTAAGTCACAGCGTATAAGCTCGAGAATATTGTGTTCTGCAATCAAGCGGAGAAATTAAATTTGGCTGTCGGTCGACTTTTTTTTCCGATTGATAGCGAACACACTGTTGTGATTTGTATCCTTAGGGTACATTTTTGCTTGAATAACAATTATTCTGGCGGTCGTTCGGTTTTGTATCTGAATAAAATATAATACCGAAAAGAGAGGCCCGAAGTCTCTCCTTGACCTGTTTAGTTGTGATAGTCGTTGAACAAATTAAAATTTTCAAACAGCTTATTTATAATTTAGAGCCGACTAATTTCCGTACCCTAGCGGCGAGACTGGCGAGACCTATTTTATTAATAATCACACAACTAAGAGGGATTCCTCGCCGGACATGGATGTAGTATGTACGCTGCCTCCCCGAAAGTAATAATCAGATCGTTAGTATAGTTACCAACCGGAAACCGAACCAAAGGGTAGCTCAAGGACTAAAGGAAAAAAACAATTCGGCTGCTTTTTGCTCAACGGCATGTCTACTTAACCAGTATAGCGACCACACACACCCTTAATGTTATTGAAAAACCAATATGTCTATTATATTTCATACGTATTACATGCACAAGCTGATTAGCACAAAAACTTAGGTGTTATAAGTTAAAAATAAGGACACTTGTTGGCTAACCTTTATATGTTAAAAAATCGCCTAATTATTGTTGGTCGATGTTTGCTATGCAATTTGAATGGCATCAATAATGACGCATGCGGTCTAACCGGTTTTAATAATTGCAATTGTTTTAATGTGTTGTAGTTTTTGAAAAAAGAAGCTGAATGTGACAAGACTGACGACAGAAGCGCTCAAGGCGAAAGCTCATTGGACTACAGAAACATACCGGACCCGGTAAGTAAACTCGTGAAGCACGTTATGCGTATTATATATCTGTACAATATTTGTTTGTATTAGTCACATTAAAAAGTATTTACAATTAGTTTGAGCTGTACTTATACATTACCAACTTCATATTGAAATTGCAGTGTATATAATAAGTAATGTAACTCCACAATATTGTGTGAGACTTTACCTGTGATAATATTTTAGGAACATCAGTAGACCCTTTTTATATTATTATTTTTTTACACCAATTAACTCACAATATTTATTTTTTATTGTTTGGAAATTTGATCTTAAAACTAAATAAACATACACGTTTTATATGAACACTAAAGTGCAGTCTCAAGAAGTTGACTTCAATAAAAAACTACTATTTGTAATATATGCATAATAATAATTATAAATCATTAGGTTCGATTAATTTTAATCCAGTTTTCTGTAAAAAAAAAAAAAAGTTACTTGAGCTATACTATTGTAATTTTTTTCTACAAATTTTATTTTGCAATACCGCCGAGGTCAAACTTTTTGATGGATTGTAAGACTGTAGTTCGCTCTGTTTCTTCCCCCCCTCCCCCCCACGTAACCTCTCTTTTTTTTCATTTGTACAACGATAGCCGAAAATGTGTGGCGTCACAAGGTTAAATAAAACTGTAATTCAAAAACGCCATAACCTTAGGGAACGTTAATTTTAAAATACATAAAATAAATTCGCTATACGCCGTTTGGAATTTTAGCAACCCACAAGGTTTGCAAGCATTATTTTCATGGACAAACGACTATCCCCACATTCGATATTGGCACAATATTCGTCGATGCATAATAATAAAATAGTAATAATAACGTTGGCCAAATTTTTCAAAAATATTAAATCATCTTAAAATAAAAAAACAACTGAAATCTCTCTCATGGTCGTTAAATATTCTTTCTCGACAATGATCAGAGAGAAGGCCATCCGGCAACGGTGAACACGAACTTCTAAATAACCTAACCGGTAACGACCCACAGTGTTATTCATCATTTGTAGCGTGTGCTAATGTTTAACGTGAGTTCAAAATTCTGCCATAAACGTTTAACGCCGTCGCCAAACAGATTTGATTTTCGTCAATGACCGACCGCCTTTTAGACACAACACATTGTCATCCAAAATTAGATAAAATACTCAAGCGAAACGGTTGAAAATAGCGTGAACCGTTTTTCGAAACGTACTTAGGATACATCATAAGTATCATCGTCGTGGTATACGCGCGTTAACTAACACTGCCCCTCCTCCCCTCGGTCTTATATTGGCGTCAACCCAGTAAAAGGTTATCAACACGCATAGCGTATTTTGATTTTTGTGTGTTTTATTATTATAATTTTTTTTTTTTTTTACTGTGCTATTTGTTTTTAATGGTGCGCGCTTTGTGGAGGCCGCCTGTAACCAGACAAAAAACAAGAGCAAAAAAAAAATCACGTCAACTTCTTGTGCTGACACTTTAGCCCGTGTACAATTTTAACAATATTATTTTTCTTTGTTTTTCTTTACTACTTAATATTCGAACAAAGTTACCAGCGAAAAGAAGTTGATGAGAGTTTTTTTTTTTGTTTTTGTTTCGGTTGCAGGACCGCGACAAGCCGGATGCGACGTTACCAAGGTTCTTCACGTGCGTTTATTGCAACCTGACGTTTCCGCACCAAAGCAAACTCACCCGACATATCCTGTCGCACAGCCTGGAAAACCTGCCGCCGTCAACGTTGCCACCGCAGGCCGTCGGTTCGGTAGGCCTGTTGCTGGGGGACCCCGGTGGAGGAGGGGAAGGCCCGTCGACACCGGCACATCTCGTGGACGACGGCGTCGGCACGCTGTGCAAGTTTTGCGGCAAGCCGTTTCCGGACGTGGCATCGCTGGTGGGCCATCTGCCGGCGCACACCGGCGACCGACCCTTCAAGTGCGAGTTTTGCGGCAAAGCTTTCAAACTGCGCCACCACATGAAGGACCACTGTCGCGTGCACACCGGCGAACGACCGTTCCGGTGTTCCCTGTGCGGCAAGACGTTCTCCCGGTCGACCATACTCAAGGCCCACGAGAAAACGCACTACCCCAAGTTCACGGGTCGCCATAGGTTCGTGTCGTCGCCCAGTCCAGAAGAGGAACCCGGGGGACACTCGTCGTCGGCCGTTCCCGTTCGGCCGTTCGATCTAAGCGTCATCCACCAGCACAGACCCGACAGGACTTCACCTTCGCCGTCGCCACCTTGACAGTTATTGTTTACTTATAGGGTGTAAATTCATGCAGCATCGGTCCCAGCCAGGAGCTAATTTAACTAAACCAAAAAAAACACACATATTTTACTTAATATTACCTATATCATGTTTCTTTATAACGCATAGCTTTTATTCTAACACTAAAAAAAACCACGTAGGTATACGAGTGTTACATCCATATTGTCTTTTTATGTGAACACAATACATATAGTATGGATGGTTATCAAGGTATAAAAATTCTGAAGAGAGTGTTCGCAAATGTCTGACCTGTGAACGATGGCGTTTGATTGCCCTTGTCTCGTTATTCCCGTTTAGAAAGCTTTAATCTTCTAATACGCCTATACGTCGATTGAACAGCCAATTGATTTCTTTAATAATATACGCACACACTTATGCCTCGTGAGTTATATAACAACGTTTTTTATAGTGTATACATTTGAAATGTCGATTTGTATCAAGTACGAATTATAAAAAATTAGATAAGGTTTTATTATGATCTCTAACCAAGCGTTTGCGCGAACAACATATAAGTGGGCGCGGTCTAAAACAATATTTGAGAAAAAAAAAACTATATGTCCATTATATATGTATATTAGCAGTTGGCATTCGTTTGTTATATTTTCCGAATTTCGCTTCAGGTAAATTACATAGACAAACACCGAATCTTTGGACTACCTAACTGAGCGACTCTATTGATGGAAAAATCGTGTGCTATTAATATTACACGATTCGCCGTTCTATATGATTGACACCTCACACCATATCACGTTTGTATTTTTTATTTGGAATGCGCTTGTTAATCGCGTCAGGTTACCTTGTATAAAACAATTTTTATAAAAAATCTTAAGTGTGACATTTAATTGGGTCTCTACTTGTTAATGACAAAAACGTTTTATTATCTAATTAAATTATTATTATTGTTACTAATTCAAACATCTTAAGTAAGTGTTACACGGCGCCTAACTTAAAAGCAGCAGTTCGTTACTGAAGATTTCGTTGAATTTTCTCTTCAGGCGCCGACCCAGGCAATAGTGTTATCACTGTCAAACACAATACACGAAAAACCCTGACCTATATCTCATTTTTACACAGGCGAGCACATGGTAGAATATCAATGTACATTATAATATTATGGTTTCGTAAAAAGACAATTTGTATGTATATGTATATTATATTATAATGTGCCACACTCGTATACCGAACGCTCCATCTCCTGTCAAGCGCCGTCCATCATAACGTTGTACTTTTGCTATGGATGTGTATTATCAGACACCGTCGCCTTTAATGTATTTTTTAGTACTTGTTTTTTTCTTTTTTATATATTATATTATAATATGTTATTTCTAAATTACCGCGATTGTTGTTATTCGCTAAGGCCTAAGTATATATTTATTACTAGTTATTACATGAGTGTGATCAATTGTTTTCTCGTTTCTTTAATGCTATTTATAAATTATAAATATTTAAATTGAATTAATATAATAATGTATTATAACTATTATTATCGTAAAACACTATTGTGCGGTTGATCGGAACGAGGACCAAACCGGACTGGGGGGAGGGGGGGGTGGGGAGAGATTGATGTACCGATGATAAAACGAGAATGTGATATTTTTCAGTTGGAAAGCGGTAACATAGGTTTTTGTCTTAATGTAGAAATTTATTATTTATTATTAAAGTTTATTTGCGTAGAATTTACCAAAATTCAATTTCGAACAATAAGTATTTATATGATATTACCTTAGAGCCACTGCGGTATCGCTGTAAAGGCTGTAGGCTGTAGCCGCCCATGGGTTTTGAGGCTTTTTCCGCACTATTAAATAATAACGTAGGTACTTTGTTTAAAAAAAAATAATTTCTAGGTGCCCGTCGTGTGTACCGATAAATGACAAATGTTATTTTTTTAATATGATTTTTAAAAGGCGCCTTAATAAAATATAATATTATTTTCAAAATATATGGTAAAAAACAACATTATAGAATAAATGATTAGTTTCATCATTTATTTAAATGGTGGAATGGGAGGGGGTAGAGAGACGGAAGAGGTATTGTATATTTATATCATACCTACGTACAACGTTGTGGAGCAACACGCTGTTGTCTCTATACCGTATACGTGCGTTTTGGACCAAACGAATGTAACAAATGACCTGAAAATAATTTATGTAAAAAAAAAAAAATTGTAATAATAAATTTAATAAAAAAAGAGCACAGTGGTAAAATACAAATTAAAAAAACTCGGGCTTAAATTTAGAATAGGCCACGGCCGTTGTCAGAGATATAATGTGACAACGGCCGTGGGTGTCATCATTAGGATTAAGACGATCCGACTGTGATAGGCTACGCGTATTGTACGGAATTTCATACAAATTGTTAGAATAATAATTAATATTATAATGCTATAGACCAATTCGATTACCCATATTAATAAATCCCCGTCCGTTCAACAGTAGGTATAATATTATATTTCTATAATAATATTAATAATATTATTCATCTCGGATTATTTGCATACAATAATTATGTTTTATCGACCGTCGGCGAACTTAAGATTCGGACAAAGAAGAGACGACCGTTTTAACGTCAAATCGGTTAATGCTATACTATAGCCGACGATATAATATTATAATATACATGATATTATGTTGTTATTATTATTATACATTCACCGTGATCGAGGCCAAGACTATATTACATAATAATATTATAATGCGAGTACGCGCTAACCAAATTCGTCTAAAACTAAATTAACAGACCGTTCGAACCCGGGCGAATCGATTTCCAAAACTAAATAGTAAATATAATTTGGCTTGAAGTAATTTCGGAATTCTAATTCACGGGTATGTAAAACATCACAATCAATCGACGATACGATATAGTACAATTGATGGTTAAATTAGCTATAGTTTATTTCAGAGAGGCTCATGTTATAATATTATTTGCACTTGTAAAATATAATATTTAATTTATAGCGTTTTACTATACGTCTTGGAATATTTAAAAATGTTATAGTAAGTAGTACCGAGCGTGGCGATTGCAAACAAATACAACTAGCCTATGACCAATTATTTTTTTTTCGCAGAAATAATAGATCATTTTTTCCATTTGTAACATAAATATTACAACGTGATAAAAGGTGTTTTGTTTTGAAATCTGAACAGATAATTATTTCTATATAGAAATAACATTTGCACATACTCCATTTGTTTACAAAGACAGTGTGTTTAAGTATACATGTTCGATAACCTGACCTTAATAACCGATTCATTGTTATACACTAAATGGTAAACGAAAAATAACGAATGAAATAGATAAATACATATTATAATAGAAGGAAAACGTTAATTATTATGTTATATTGTTTAGTTTCGATGTGATAACGAGATCCAGTGATATCGCCAATTTTTTTTTATTATTAATTTTAGGTGCTAATTAATTACATTATTATTATCATTATTATTGTATTTTTTAAGCTATTTCATGATGATATATTTGTGTATTTGATTATGTAATACGATATTTTTTGTCAGTGCAATATATTATTATATACATTAAACGAAATCGTCGTTTCGATAACAGTATATCAATGTGTTTTCAATAATTACTATATATATATAATATAAATTATGCCATCACTTCCCTCAAACGACCCGTTTCCAAAACTTGTCCACAATTTTATGATTTATAATAACCCGGGCCGGCGGAAGGTATATGCAACATGGGTAATACTTAGACAACGGCCTAGGGCGACTTTTTAAAAAGACGGCAATTTTTTTTTAAATTTAATAATTGAAAATTAGAGTTGGCCAGTACTACTCCGGTAGTAATACTCTAGTAGTACTCGCAAGAGTATCATATACACAATTACAATAGTTATGATTTGCCATATCAAAACTGTTATGCTCGCCCCGTTTAATTATGTTTAGCAACTAATCTGTTGTGTCCGTCATGTGTGTACAATGCAGGAAGTTTGTTTGGTCGAAGGAGTTTTCAACACTTTGGCCGCGTACAGATCACAAGTATCCGTTCTGCAACAGAGATTCTCAGCGTTTAGCCAGTTTCCAGCATCCCTGCCGCCCGTCTACAACGCAGGTAAATTGCCAATAATACATTTTTGTCATTTAAACTGACTGAACTATCGATATTTTCTATTCAGGTGTTGGTCCCTTCTTTAAACAATTATAAATCTTAAAAAAAAATTGTACAGTCATTTAAAAACTGTGGCAGACTGTGCAACACTTGTAAGCTAATTAACTGAAAAAACCTAATTTCTCATATTATATTTTATGACTCACCGTAGGCGCAAAACGAAATTTGTTTTTCTTTAAATATTTCTATTTTTTAGTCGTACCTTTATAGTTACAGTAAAAAAAAATCTATAGACGTAGTGATTTAAATTGATTATAATATGATACACGAGCTGGGAAACGTTCACAATAGATCACGCAAAATATCGATTACTCCTGTTCCACTTGAATCACTAATCAGATACATACAAATATAGGCTTAACATTACAGTTATTAGACTACGACGTATGAAACTCATTATTTGTCTCAAGACTTATTAGGTATTTAATTTTGCATTGTGTAAAAACGATCTGACACAATATAAATTATCTCATACCATAAAGAGGATTTAGCAAATAGGTATCGAACGGGAGATCAAAATCCTGTTGAGATTAGATAATTATGTCAAAGAAAGCGTTTTTTTTTTAGATAGAAGTTTTATGAAATTATAATAGTTTTTATTGTATAACAGCTTTTGTATTTAATGCTTATAATTTATAATCCGAATGATGAATGAAATCGAGACGTTCTCGCGATAAGTAAAAAGTTATAAAATAAAGGTTTATCCGTTTTTTATTCCACCATTCTTCCCCTCGCCTACTCTAGATATCCGTTACTTGTTAGATTCTCTCTTAACAATTAACATCGAAATTTCTTATTTATACGATGTATTAACAAGTATTGAGGTATCACCTTATAACAGACAATGTAACCGACCAAGAAGGATTATTAATATATAAGGGGAGATTGAAGAAAAACTCTAATTAAAAATATTAATTTTATCATTGAAGACCAATTTAATAATACCCATATAGAATGAATGTAACTATTCGAAAAAATTAAGGGAATCATCATTTTAAAAATAACTACATATAATATGATCTTTTCATTAGAGCTGATCAAAAACTACTCCATTCCGAAGATTAACAATTATATCGTATCTGCATTATAATAATAATTATTATATTATGAGTACATTTGATGTGTGTTTATTGTGTAGAAACATCAGTGTCGTTGTACTCCGTGCTTCAACAACAAGGTCTAATCGGACCGTGCGTCAGCTCTAGCGACGAAGTGGCCAGCCGCTGCTTGATCAGATGTGCCATTTGCTTGGCGGGATTCCCGTCCACTTGGCTGTTGGAACAGCATACGGCGTTGCAGCATACCGGGCAACCAGTTCGCGGTCACGGTGGCGACGGAGGTGACGAGAAACCGTTCCAATGCGAACAATGCGGTCAAAATTATCGGTACCGGTCGGCATATCTCAAGCATCGCGAGCAAAACCACAGGGCACGCCTGCCGGCCGACAAGCTGTTTACATGTGACATATGCGGCATGCAGTTCAGGTGAGTGCCGCAGTTATTGAGTTATGTGTATGCGTATAGTGGCTGCCGTGTACGACTTTTCAACGGGCGGCTGAACTCCCGTAATTCAAAAATAAATCACCCTAACAGAACCTTATGGGATTCCATTAACCGTATGATAGTTGGCACAATAATTTAATAATAATATGTTAAAACGTGAGATTCCTGTGGTTGTTTTAGGTATCTCAAGTCGTTCAAGAAACACCGGTTAAACCACGCATTGGAGAGGCTTCATCGGGATACGACGGCACATGGGGGCGACGAGAGTCGGGACGTGCCGCGCACGCCGACTTCAGCCGAGGCTCAAGTGACCAGCACAAACGAAGTGGTATCCATCGAGGCTGCCCAATCGTCGGCGGCCAGTAGTCCGGTGCCAAAGTCCGGGTCCGCCAAAGTATTATCGTCGTCGTCGTCGTCGTCGCCATCGCCGTTAAGCGTGCTCAAATCAAACGCACAACGGACAGCGTCGGCTGCCAGTGCGCCCGCCGTTACAGACGGAGTCGCAAACGGTACCGCCAACAGCAACAACAACGTTAAATCGTTCGCCTGTCCGTTTTGCGGCAAGTGCGTCCGGTCCAAGGAAAACCTTAAGCTGCACGTACGGAAACACACCGGCGAGCGGCCGTTCGCGTGCCTGTTCTGCGGACGCGCTTTCGGCGGCAAGAGCGACTTGACCCGACACTTGCGCATTCACACCGGCGAAAGGCCTTACCATTGTGAGATGTGCGGAAAGTGTTTCGCCAGAGCAGATTACCTGTCCAAACACTTGACCACGCACATACACAACAACCACCAGCGTTAAACGGTCGACATGGTAATGGTTCAAATGGTCTCTTTGGGTTACACGTTTTTTTTTTTATTCACTTATATTATTACGTAATATTATTATAACTATAATCAATTTGTCGTTTTTCTTTTTTAACGTCGTCATACCGGACTTGCAGTAGTGTGTCGGTTGGAAACGATTATGGTTATTCGCGAAAGCTCAATTAAACAGAATTAAAAATTTATTTGAACAAATCTTTTTATACATTACTCTAAACGATAATGCTCTAAAAAACATATTATAGTATTCGTAGTTTGTACTTAATCGATTGATTCCTTTGTTGTTTTTTTTTCTTTTTTAATATACTTACTAGGCATGTGGTATAAAATTAATAGTATAATATGGTCAGTGATCCGTTTGAACCATTGTCATGGGGATAATGTGGCTAATGAGAGTATTTTGAAGGCAAACGACGGCCTATTTGATTGTAAACGCAAAAGAAAAATTATTAACTCTAAATTTTAAGTATAATTACATTCTCTAGTCATATAAATTAATGTTTATATTTCCTTTGAAAAAAAAAAATCAAAATTTTTTTGTTTTTGTGATCGGACGAGCGTGTATTATAAATTATTAAAACAAAAATTGAACGGCAACGCGCTTTGTCTTACAAACATATATATATTATATTTGTATTGTTTTTTCATTTTTATGTTGTTTATATAGTTTACACACAATCGGTTTTTATTATTATTTTATTAATTATTTTGCAATTTTTGATGTGATAATTTTAAGCAAACCCAGTATGTGATAATTAATGAGTGTATCGATCGGTTAAGGGATAGTGTAATGTAAATACTATTCCCAAACATTCGGAAGCTTTGTTAAACATTTGATACCTTTTATTCTTTTTTTTTTTTTATGAAAACCGTAGTTTTTAATTTATTATTATCGATAAGGTTGTTTAATTTTCTTTTGTATACTTACGTTTACATTTATATATTTATTTATAATTTAATAGGCATATATATTTATCTAAGCATTTTGTCAAACATATGTCATGTGATTGTAAAACTGTGATAGAAACGAAAGGAAACTGGAAAGTGATATTATATTGAAACAAAAATGAAATGATAGATATAATATAGGTATGTAACATTAATGGTTGTGATATGTAAAAAACAAATTTTGGAAACAGATAATGCGTAAAAACAAAATGAAATGAATTTGGAGGATGTTGTGTACGTGTGAGATTGTTAGAATGTAGGTATGTATATTATGTATGTATTCTTCGAAAATTCGAATGAGTTCGGATTGTAATCCGGATTCATTGGCACGTGCGATGGTACATTGTATTATATTCTGTATTGTAATCATCAGACTGAATAGGTTGTCTCGACCAATGCAAGCAGCTAATTATTTTAACATGACATTAGGGATGAACAAACTTACATAGCGCCAACTCGGTTGAGTACATGATATTTTGTACTTACTAAGATAAATGTTTTGCTCAAAACAGTATTAAGACAAACAAAAAACAAAAAACAAAACGAAACTATTCTTAATTCACAAATCTCAACAAAATAACATATTATTTATTATTATTATTATTAATATACCTACCGCGTACCTATTAATAATTAACCTATGATTATTATCGTACAATAATAGTCAAAACTCGTAACAAAAATAGTACAATTTTTTTCATAAATACCTAATGTATAACGTTTAATTATAACTATTAAGCTTTTTTACAGTTCTACCTCGTGTTTATAATATACAGTATGGTACATCACAAATACTCGTAACAAAAGTACAAAATAGCCAATTTTTTTTGTTAATTATTCTAACTCACTTGGTTTTTTTTATGTTTAACCTCAATAACTTAATTTTGTATTAAGTATTTTTATTTTTATTTTTTGTTTTTAATTATATTTTTTATGTATACCTCCTGTTTTTTTTTTTTTGCCTTTTCTGAAAATGTTATTTAACCAACGTATTTAACGTTATTTCTATGTATAATATAACAATATTATACTATAGTACCTTGCGATTCGCCAAACAAACAAAAAACACAAAAAAATAGATAAATGTAACAATAATAATAAATTAAACAATAATTTCCAAACATAATAATATTATATATATACACGATACAATTATTTATAATAGATTTAAGCTTTGTTTTATACGTATATAGTAAATATACATACATAATAATAAAATAAATTTAGTCATTTTGAATGTTGCGTTTGTTGTTGCGGTTAAGAGTATTCAATATAATTACACTTTAATATACTAATCCATTTAGTACATTTTATAGAACATATTTTATAATATCATGATAGACATGTATTTATTATGAAAAATAATTGTTTAGTAAAGGACGGCGACGACGTTGTTATCTAATTAATATTTAAATAAATTACCCCAGTGTAGCCTGGCCATATTTCATGTTGGTATTTTTTTTTCTTTGATTTTATTATACATTGCTCATTAACGACAATGCAATTGTATCGCATGCAAGCGTAAACTAGCATAGGATATACATGTTGCGTAATCAATTTTTGTTGGAAAAAAAACGGCAAACCGATTTGAAATTTGGCCATATACACGTTGTAGCTAGACATAATGTTATAATATGACAAACATAGGGTTTTTATAGAAAACGGGCTTAGAGCAATTAGAACGTGGGCGAAGATAGGTGACCGTGTATGACATTTTTAGAAAAATAACAGATGATACAGTATACATATATCCCCAAAATAATACTGTAATATAAGTTTTTTTTTCAAGTCAGTGATTACTACATTTACCAACAATGTCGAATTTGAGTGTAAAAGACGGGTTAACTGTAACTGCCAAGTATTGAACTTTAAAAATATTTTCTATGTCCAATTTGTACACATTATAGACGACTACGGTTGATTTTTAATCGTTGATAAAAGAATATTATACCCAAACCACCACCGTTACATATGAATTTCAAAAACAATTAATTTTTAAACCAGAATCCAAGTTGACAAAATCCATTCAGTTCCTTTATGTTTAACACTAACCTAACTTTACCTAACCGTGTCGTCTATAACAATAACAATATTATTCTTATATCTATAAGTAATATATTTGCTCAACGTCGAGCCTTTATGATATTATACTTCTGTTTGTTTACATAATATATATCATTGTAACGGCACTCTAATTAAAATTTATATGATATGTTTACATACTAGTGTTAAATATTATTAAGTAGGCATTTATAGGTAGGTACAATTTTATAAGAATTGTTTTTTTTGTTAATAATCTTCCGGTTTTTGGTATGGAATTTTAAACGTCGCGTTGACATATTATAAACATATTAAATAATATCCTTTTTAAATAATAAATCGTATATAATTATAGTATAACAGATAACGTAAAAAAAAAATTGTTACTCTATTTATTTCTGTTTGACAATATACATAAATTATAACTGTAACAATATGACTACGTGTAAAATGCCAGCGACAACAATTTTTTTCTACGACTGTAAAAAGCATATTTATATTATTAAATCAATGTCGAGGGTATTAGTAAAATTTGTCTTTTCTTCATAAACGAACCAACCGGTTTTTATACGTACTTTATAGTAAATAATATAATAGATTGGTTACATAATTCTTAATTAATGTATTTAATTACAGGTCAGAGACATAAACATAATTATTATTATTAATAAATTATTCTTACCACCGCGTTAAATCAATATATTTTGATAATTAGACGAATTTGACTGTACGCGCATAGTATAATGGTAAAAATAAATTAAGCAAACGTATGACAATGTACGTTTTTTAGAACCGAAAAAAATATTCTGTTGACAAAAAAATAAGTGTTTTTTTTTACACATAAACACCAGGTTCAGGTCAAGTCATAATGTTTAGATTCATATTCATACAACCAATTATTAGATTTATATTCTTATCTTTTATTTACACTTTGCCTAAAATAAACAATAACTTAACAAATTCAAACGATTTATTAACTTCCTAGACTTGTTACCTATTAATATTTAACGCATCTACCTACAAATATAATTATATGATGATAATATACAAAAATTGCATTTTACGCGTTATTTTGGTGTAAATCATTGATGTAGAGGGGTTTTCTGATGCTATACAATCGGTGTACAAAATAATTTACGTTTTATTAAACAATTGTTTGTGTATTCAACTGCTACAAATAATTTAAGCACAAAAATCTTATGTTAATATGATACAAATTTTAAATTATTGTTTAGATATTTATGATTTCACAGAGACTGTCTGATGATAAAATAATTGACCGTTTAAATTGTTACCAATTTACATTTGCCGTGTAACTGTGCGCTCTGTTCGGAATCGGAACTTGCTTTGGCTGAGACCAATCGATGATGTACACATTTTACTTAAAGCTTTAATCGAATGACGATAACACCTTAATGAGTACAACTTGATGTAGAGCATCCTCGTCAGCTACATCTCTAGCTGATGTTATTTTTACCTTCTCATTCCGAACAAGGTTTATGAAAACGCCGTGTGATCAATTTTAACACGTTTGTTGTGTATTATACTAAACAAACGTGAGTATTATATTAATAATAATGATAATAATTATGTTGTAAATAAATGCATTATCTGATTCAACAAAAATACAAATTAATAAAAGTAATAAATCAAATATCGTATTACTGTTAAAAATTTATGGGTACCTAACAATCCTTTTTCATTAACATTCTTATAGCAGATGAGAGTTCTGATGAATCCTGATGTACAAACCCAAAAGCCCGGATTTTACGGATTATCACTAATTATTATTTTTTACCTCGGGCAATATCTATGTTTGCAACTTTTTTTTTTGGTAGCGATGATTTTATTATTAAAACTAAAAATTGATATTATTCAAAATACGGCAAATCCTGATATTCATATTCCCATCACTACTTCCTTCTTCATCTTCGCTTGAAATAACTACTCTAAGAGTTTTAGCCACCATTACAATATCACGCCACTTGTAAGTGGCAATTCAATTCTTTCAATTATACTTAAAAGCCTGACCAACGCCTTTTTAGATGATCGGAATTTAATTTTGTAACATTATTTAAACTCATCAGCGGTCAACCTTTTTTCCAGGTGATGGAGAAAATGTTTTAGTTTACTTAACCAACATTGGGACTACTATAAATTTGAAAAATTCAAATAGGATTTAAACACAATTTTGTGGAATTAAATTTTTGATTTCCACAAATCAATAATCAAGAAAAGGGGCCGATAAACTCCAATAATTTTACAAAATTTAAATTGGGCCATCCTTTAACTAAGTAGATGTAATTTTTGGCGGTATTTTATGTCTAAAACTTCCAAAAAACAGAACACTTTCAATCCTCTCAACTCATAGCATAGATAAACACTAAAGTGATAAGTCCGCAAATATTCAAGACGAGCAGAAGTGGAGTCAATCAATCTTATCTTCAATTATTCTTTTTTATTGTTGATAAATTATGGCTAATCTATTTTTTACAAAGTTTTAAATATTCCTAATTTACTACTATTATTCTTTTATGAGAGAGCCTGGCTAATTTTTTATACTCGTTAATATTTTAATTGTGTGTTAATTTTGTTTGAAAATTGAATATAGGATTGTAAACGTTTGTTTTCATAGCACAAATAAACTGTATCTACAATTCTTTTGTTTGAAAATTAGGTAGGTACCCAATTATTATTATCTTATTGTCTAAAACTATAAAATTATAGTCCACATTATAACCTGTTGAAAGACAATAACATAATAGATATATTGCATTGCTCTATGAAAATAAAAAAAATAGAAAGTTTTAACAGTTTTTCTTAATTAATATTAAGAAAAACTGTTAAAAAAAAAAATACATACATTTCTTTAAGTGTAATCACTTAAAGAAATGTATGTATTTTTTTTTTTTTTAAAGGGGGAAGTCATTCTTTAGAAGATGCGGTAAGTTCAAACTTTTCGTCGCATCATTAGATTATTTAGTATCATCATCATAAACTTAACGGGCTTTTAAGGTCCAAGAGATGATGGTTTCAAGACGGATTCACTGTCAAGACCGTGACCGAGTGTCAAACCCGGTGATAGTGACGGTTAACACAATGTCGCCTTACCCACTCAGCCACTCCTCCTCAATTATTCAGTATAGTGGGACAAAACCAGGTGATTTTAGTGGTAAATTTATAATACTGTTGTAAATAAATTTAAACGATAATCTCGCTCCTTGCATGCTAGTCATTAACCCAACTATTATTTTTTACACTCTTATACAGCTCACCCACATGCAATTAAGGTATTAGCTTAATATAGACGGATCTTACACTGAAAATAATTATTCCAATTCCAATAGAAGACATTTATGGTTATTTAGTAAGAAGAAATATTTTCCTAAATTGACTTATATGTTATATAACACAAGAAAATAATATAAACAACAATCACTATAATATATTTAGTTTTGCACAAAATACTAAATAAGAAGAAATTTTTTTCCAATATCTCATTGTATTGGATGAAAATCTATTAAAATTAAACCTAAATGTATTTAAAGACAACATTTTTACGATCTTCAACAGTTTGAAACTCTAATTTGATGGGGCACTGCAACCAATAACTTAAAAGCTCCTCTGTATAACCAATTAAAAAATACATTTTAGTCACACTGATTTTCTGTACAGCAATAGCAGCAATTCTAATTATGTTGTGTTGGCGTTTAATGATAATTTCTGAGGCAATTAAATCATGCCAGGTACCAACAATGAATCGACGAATAAACTCATCTTCTATTGCTGTTTCAGCTGGTCTTAAACCATCCAACATATTGCCTGAAAAATTGTTTTTTATTATTTGTGTACTAAATAATGATAGTAAAACATTAAAACTAATTTAATTAAAAACTATTTTAGTAATGCCTATTTTATTGAAAATTTTAAATAAATAAAATTGAAATTTCATAATATTTTCCAATTAAATAATTAAGGTAGGTTCTAACTTTGTATATACAAACTATTTATCTAATAATTGTTTCGGCACTATATCTATCTATGATAATTTACACTATCACAATACTTAGGTAGAGCAGTTTTTAATGATTGCTTGATAAAATTTTACTATTTTATACAAAAAATAGTAATTATATTACTAGTAATGCTAATAGGGGCTTCCCAAGTGGCTCGGCAAGCTTCATGCGGCGCGCCAAAGTGACGTCGAGCTCGGTGCAACACAAATTTTAGCTTTCCCATAGCGCGTGGCTTGGCGAGCTAATAAATATCCTGCCTGGTACAACGGGTTCCCCTTTGACTCGGGACCGTTTTACCGACATTTCCCGGATCGCTACGAGCCGCACTTTCCCAAGCCAAGGATCTTCCGAGCAACTTGTATCTCGTCGAGCCAAGGGTCGTGGGAAGGCGCCTTAATGTGAAACCCACCAACACTATTTTACCCACATTTCTGTGCTAAAACTATTATGAAATCCAAAATGTCTACCTAGGTATACAATAAGTCTTAATCTATGGTAGTATATACTGTTACTGAATTGACTAAAAATATTATTTTCCTTACATGTATTCCATGAATTCCAACTTTTGATATGAGCAATTGTGTGTGGCGGACCAGCCATTTCATAAGTCAATGGCTTGTTTCCTTTAATTGAACGTTTATAACGAGCCGCTTGTACGTGTTTACAACGAGAAAGAATTAAACAAGAATTTCTGGCAAATAAAGTGTGATTTAATTTCTCAAAGAACATGATTCTTCTGTAATAGGATAAAGAAATAACTAGTTAACATTCAACATGATGTATTACTGTCGATAATTACCTCTTTAATAAATATTAAAATCAAATACTTATTGTATTATGAAAAAAAAAATGTACTTGCGAATCTAAATTCTATTACTTTATTTATACAATACGTCTTCTTTTAATGAATGTTTTAAATTTTTATTCGAGTATTCTGGAATTGTAACACTAAATTGTCTTCAAAAATTTGTATTTAAACATGTTAAATTGATATCAGATAACAAAATATGTTACTAATGATAAGCCACCGGACAGTGTTGTCAGAAAGAGAATAAAATCATACCTACCGCATAATATTTTTCTATCTAGAAAAAAGATTAATACCTACACAAATTTAATTGTTTTAAATTTAAAAAAAAAAACCTAAATCATTGTTTAAATTTGTATTTAAAAATGTATAAATCATATGTCTATAAGTGTATTATATCATATAAAAAATACTCATTTCCCATAAATAAAATCTAGACGTAACAATAATAATAAAAAGCAAAATATTTATTACAAGATAAAATTAATCTATTAAAACAAATTCTATTCATAAAGTAACTAAACAAGGTACACTACTTTACTTCTTAACAGAATAGTTACATTCAATTTTAATCGAGGAAATGTTGTTTGTTAAATTTAACGCATGAGGAAAAAATAAGTCAGCACCGCGCTTCTTTCTATACTGGGGGAATAAAAAAAAAATGCTTAAGCCTAGAAAAGCTGGACACGGATTCCTGAAAGCTAGAACTCTAGATGTCTTGGACAATCGATAACGTTGTCCCGTGTATTGGATTTGGTCATAAATAATGACATACTAGCTGTTCCTTAGTTCTTAGGATGAGAAGGATCACTGAAACATAACTGTAAGATTTAATTGAATATATTTTGAAACTAAATTATAGGGGTTGGGTTAGTTTTAAAAAAATGAAATCACCATATTATTATCATCCGCTACTCAGTTTCACACATTTGGTTGCGGTCTTCAAAAGACAGACGTTTGTTTAAAAATTATGAATAATAATATAAACCAAGTACAATTATAGCTCAACGAACGCAACAAATAAATTTCCGGTAAGCATTGTTTCTATTTTAATCGGACAGGTACGACTAAAAAAACGTCTACATAGGCCAGGAATTGGCACTCGAAGGAGCTCGATGGAACTCGAAAATAAAATGTATCGATATGAATAAAAATTCAATAAACCGTCTTATGAGGTTCAACAACGATTGTGGCGCGAGCACAGACGTCGTTGCTTTCTTTTCGTATCAATCTCTTCGTTTAGATTTTCTTATGGCTGTTAACGAGGCGCTGAGATCATTCAACTTTTTCCAAATACTGAACACAGTATAACCATTGATTTTAGAATATACTAATTGTAAGTATATTCTAAAATCAATGGTATAACCGACAGAACGTTGTTTTTGACGAAATGAAAACAAACCACTATCTTATACGAACCGATCAGCATCCGGATCTCAGGTCGAAAAGCTCGGTCGGTTCCAAAACTCCTATTTCTATTTATCTAAAATTTGGTGTAGGTACACGATACCGTACAATAAACCGTATAATAAAATAATGTCTTTCGCGATAGCCGAGTTCCTAAGATTCTTTGATTCAAGCAGTGACCAACACTTTGAGGCAATTATGTACTTGATGGACAATTCTGTAAAAAAATTGTTCGCCAAATTCAATTACAAGCACGTTGTCAAGCACATTGAAAAAGCGATGTCGGATATTTCTAAACAATTTTTCTTCAAAGTAGTTTTCAAACCGGTCAATTTCGAAAGGGACGAGTCCTCTGGTCCGATTATTCAACATTACAAAAATATTGTAAGTAAAATAACTAAACTGTTAGAAGACTTGTGCTATTGGTTAGACGCTTGTAAAAAGAGTTAGTTTAAAATCAATAATTTTGTTATACGAAAGATATCGTTTTTAAATAACTTAATTAACATTGATCACGTCGATTTTTATCACATTACAATATTAAACCAAGCGATCAAACTTTGAATCAACAGATTGTCGGAATTTTTATTTTACTAAATAGCAAAATACAATACATCACTGATTTATAATATAATTTTTGTGTATAACAAATTAATAGTATCAATTGAATTCAATTTTAAACTAATATAGACAAAAACAATTGTAATTGTATAACAAACAATGTAATTATTTAAACACAATAAGAACAATAATAATTAACTTGATATTCAAAAAACATTATTTTTGTATTACCCATAAATTAGCCTATCAATATTGTACACAATTAATTAGTTCTTACACCAACTAAATAATAAAATATAAAAAGAAAAACTTTTTTTTTAAACTCTCAAATACTTATCACAGATTAATAATATTATATTTTGTAATTTGCAACAATTTATAAACGTAATAATTTTTAGTGCAATAAATTTATTAAAAAAAAAAAAAAAAAACATTTAATAATTAATTTGTTTAGTAGTTAGTGGTGGCATTAAACATATATAAACAATAACAGCATGAACATATTTTTTCATAACTCAATAGTGCAACAAACTTAAATTGTTACTAGAATACGTAACAGTAAAGCAAATGTTTCAATTGTGGTTTTAAAAACATTTTTTTTTTTTTTTAAATGTAGCTATCATTCATAACAAAAAGTGGCACTTTAAGTTATGAGACAAAGTCATATTTAATAATATGATCGTAACTCTTAAAATGCATACAAATTTGTGTACTAAGCTTTATCCCTCCCCCAAAACGAAATTCTTGATTTTCGTATTGTGGGATATAATTTTAGGAACAAAATTAAATATTAAAGTAATAATTGTAAAATATAATATGGAATGTGAATTTAAGATGTTTACACAGTTTTAGAAACGAAGCAAGTTTTACCAAGCATATAATATTTTTATTAATAGGTTTTCAAATTTGAAATTTATTTTTTAACCTTATTACTCGTGTACGGTTTACCGCCATGTTTTTCCCATTCTTTATTGAACTCATTTTCCAGTATTTCAGCCCCTCTCTTGCGGGTCAACCCTGTTTCATCCAGACTCAGTTCGCACATTTGCATGTCGTCTTGCCCTGTGAAAAATTATAATTAAATATTGTTATGCATTCACCCACAAAATGTGTATAATTTTACCGGCGTTAAGTAGAATAGCTGGTTTTTCAGGATGTAGTTCCATTTGTCTAGCTACATATTGACCATCAAAGTGGGCGTACCACCAACCGCGATGTTGATCGGCACCTCCTGAACTTGGTCTTGTCGGAGTATTCGAACGTACAAACGGTATGCGGAAATAACGTTGGCTACTCGTTGGCACAATAGGCTGAGCCTTGACATTTTGTAAATGTTTAACACTCTTTGACTGATTAGCTAAAACAGCATAATTGTTATTTTAAATAAATAATTAATTAAAACAATTATTTTATGAAATACAAAAGAATTACCAGTATCCATTATGGAACGGGGAACTCTTTCATTTTCATCCATGTAAGATCGTTTCTTATTCTTTGCTTTCCAGGCATGATATACCTTGAGTCGACGATGGAATTCTACTCTACAAGCCTATTAAATTCAATTATTGTTTCATTAGCACGCAAAAGTATAAAAAGTTGACTATTTTACAAAAAAACTTACTTCTAGTAGCTCAATATCACAAGAAGTGTTTATTGTGTCTCTAAGTTCTGAATACTTCCATTTTGATAAATCATACTTGCTAGACGGTTCGACTGTTGTTGTTTTCCTATACCGCACAGAAATTAATAAATCGTTATTATAATTTTTTTTAACCAAAAATTCAAATTATAAACTGTTATTACTTTGCATATGTATTAGAAATATCTTCAACAAAGCTATTAGTTTCTTTTGCAAGTCTTAAGGCCAACTCATGATCTCGCCGCTCTTGTTCCATTTGTTCTCTAAATTTAATTTCAGCCAATGCAGCTTTTTCAAGTTCTTCCTATTTGTAAAATGTTTTGTACATTTTATGTTTACTTCTCGTTTTTAAAATTAAATAAAATTAACATAAAATATTGTTACTTACTTGACTGAGAAAAATATCATTTTTATGTATTTCTTCTTCAGCTTTGCGTCTTTGTTCAATTTCAATTTTCCTTAATGTAAAAATGATTTATAGTAAATTTATGTCTTGCAAAAATTCAAAATATATTAAGAGATATTTTTTATCATACTGTTGTCTAATTTTTTCATCTTCCAATTTAGCATTTTCTTCTTTATCTTTAGCTGCTTTAACCCTTTCCATTTCCATTTGTAATTTGGCCATTCTTTTTTTTTCAGCTTCAGCACTTCTTTCAGCATCAGCTTTTTTCCTTAAACTTTCCATTTGTGTATTAGCTGCTTTCACTAAATTGTTGTAGGTTTCATTTATTTCAGTGGCTTTTATGTTTTCATTAGACTAAACAAATGTTAATTACCAAATAATTCACCTCATAAACATATCATACACAGTTATAATAATGAAAATTATATATACCCTAATATTTTGAATAGCGTAATCAAATTCCGATCTTAATTTTTGAGCATCAGCTATATAAACAGCATTATCTTTTTTTATTTGGTTTGCTAATGTTTCCATTTCATTTAAAATTGTCTAAAAATAGTATACATAAATTTATTTAACTAGAAGTAGTAAATTACTAGAACTACCTTACCTTAAGACTGTTGATTTTTTTTATTCCCATGTACCTGGGGCGATGTTTGGTTTTAGATAAATGCATTCGTACATTTTTCTGAATAGTGATTAGATTTTTTTGCCGGTACAATATTTTATTTTTGACTATTTATTAAAAAAAATATGAATTATTTATAACATTAATTTTTTTGTTTAATAACTAAGATTCTTACGCTTGATGACAGCTAAAGCACACCATTGTGATTGTTTCCAATGTAAAGTTGTTAAATATTTTTGTACTTTATCTATCATTTGCTTTAAATTTTCAGGATCAGAATGCATGATAGCATCAAATTCAGCAAATTTACCAGGACGGAAGAACACTTTTGAGACACCAAATTTATAATCACCTTCATTGACGCCAACTGCTCTGAACAACGCCTGGAGACATTTGAAACAAAGTAACCACCATTAGTTTTGAGTTTTTTTTCCAAAAAACAATATGTTGCCACATTGTTACAATTTAATAAGTTTGACAATCAATATTATAAACTGAACAAAAAGCTACCTTTTTCAATAAATGTTAACTGTATGTCATTTAAAAGAAATATATACCTTTGAAAATATTCTAGGATCGAGTTTAACGAGTTTTGGCGGCAACCTCTGTCGGTACATATCATAGAGTTGTTGAAATGGAGCACGAGATGGAAATCCTTGTTGCATCAGCTCTAGTACACTCGTCATTCCGGAGCATTGAAGTTGTGATAATATCGATCCACCATCAATCATGTGATCGACCATTTTATCGTTTGGTTTAATGCAACGAACAAAATTTGTACCCTTAAAAAATAATATTTTATTTTAGATTAAAATTAGAGATCATCATCAAAAATGATTAAATTTCCCACTTACTGTACTCCTTAATTTTTCCATTAGTTCGGCCAATTGGCTTTTGAATTTAGATCCTACACTTATAAAGTTGAGTTTACCCTTAGCCGTCCCTAAAGTACTAGACGCAAACAAGCTTTGCAGAAATGGGTTGTTACTCTCTTGAACGAGACCTTCCAAGTTGGCATGGAGAGCATCATTGTTTTTATCAATAAATTGACCCTATAGGTAAAAGAAATGCAATTTTAAGAGTACATTATTGTTTTTAACAGAAAATAGTTGCTTTACTAACCGTTTGATAGCAGACTGCACCAGCAAAATGCCTGACCATAAAACCTTCATCGTCTCGTATTTCACGATGCGCCTTAAGTTTTGAAGTTCTAGCCAGTGCAAGTCTAAAATGACCTTGCCAACGTTTGTGCACTTCTGTAGTAAAATGTTCACTACTTTGTTTTGGCAATTTAGATTCTTCATCCAACAAATTGAATATACCGCCATTTCTGGATTCAATTAAATCTGTGCAAATATTTACATTAATATATTTAAACATATATATAAAAAAAAATATATATTTTTTTTATTTACCAATACAATCTTGATTATCAACAAATTCTATCTTTTTAACTGCTAAACCTTCACGTTCATACAGCATTTGTTCTTCTTTAAGAATACGCTCATTGAAAAATTGCTGAAGTTTTTCATTGCAATAATTTATGCAGAATTGCTCAAAACTATTAATTGTAAAATACTCTGTTGGGGAAAAAAATACTCTATTATAGATATTAATAGCCTTAAGAAAAATGTGACTAAAAGGGTGAAGGTAACAGAGTTTTAATATTTAGTACAACACTAGGACAAAGGCATGTTTTTTTACAAAACAGGTAATCAACTGTCTATAGAAGAAATATTACCACCCTCTTTTATGGGCTTAAATTGTTTTTGTCAGGGCTAGGTCGGTTAGCTGTAATAACAATTTATCAAATCATTAACCCCTTCTCTTATGGGAATGAATACAAACATTAAATACAAAGGAAGCCAATATAGATTGAATATTTTATTTAAATAAATCTTACCAAATCCAGCAATATCTAATACACCAATATAGTAGCTAGATGCTTTCGATGGAATACTCGAGTTAATTCTGTTGACAATATGGTCAAATAATTTACCATATATAGCTTTAGCTAAAGCATCTCGTGCGTTATTTGCTTCATATGATTTCAAAGGTACCCTGAAATTTAAATTTTAGTCTTAACTTAGGATTTAGGACATATTAAGCTAAAATATTTTAAACTCACATAATAACAGTTCCTTTAAGACCGCCTCGATTAGTCATCATCACTTTGGTGATTAATGCTTGTCGTAGCTCGTCGACATTTACAGACAACAAATCAGCAACAATAGATAAACTTTTTTCTGCCTGATTAGTTACTTTACAACCTCCTTTAGTACTTTCCAGATTTTCCTCGAATTCAATATTTCCTAAATGTAAAACAGCTGCTACTATAGTGTAAATATCACATCTTTCTTTACTGGACAACCCAAGTCTGCTCAAAGCCTACGAAAAAAAAAATATCAAATGTACAAACATATTTTTAAGATAAATGATTAAAAGCAAATAGGATTATTAGTTTGTTTACCTCATCCATTGTAGCAAATCCTTTAACATCGTCCAACATAGGATCTTTAAGACCTCCTTGTTTGTTTTGTAATTTACTTTTTTGATAGCTCTCTAATTTATTACTAGTTTGGTTATCGGTAAAATATTGAGTACAGCCTTTTTTTAAATACTATAAAGAAAAAAAATTATTTTTAATAGACCACAAATTAATTAAGTTAAGCTATATACGTACGTTAAATGAATCCGGATTGGCAAGTGATAGTTTAGATCGTATTTCTGGCGTTGCTCCAGCACACAGTAAATAGAAAACATGATAATTACGTTCCTCTGAACTCTGTATGCAGACTCTAGATTTCTCTAATAAGTAATGATTAATGTATCCTCCCACAACTAAACACGAACTATCAAAATGTACTTCCATGAATTTTCCAAAACGCGATGAATTGTTGTTACGTGTTGTTTTAGCATTTCCAAATGCTTCTAATACAGGATTTGCTATACAAAACAATTTGTTTTATTTTATTAAAATAAACAGTTAATCATATGAAATCGTAATGGTCAATTTAATATTACCGTCCAAAATCTTTTGATCGGCAGCCGGTCCATTAGTTGATCCCCATTGATAACATAAGTAACGTAACAGATGTTTTGTTGATTCGGTTTTTCCTGCTCCAGATTCACCCGATACAATAACAGACTGAGATTGTTTCAATACTTTCATATCTCGAAATGACTTGTCGGCTGTTAAAATAATTTTTTTGTACAATATGGTTTGTGTTATAATAACACCAAATCACATACCTATGGCGAATACGTGAGGTGGCAAAACTCCAAGGGACTTCCCTTTGTACTTTTCCATGACTTCTTTTGAGTAAAGATTTTTTATATCAATATAAGGATTGATGGAGATCAAAATGTTCGCAACATAGGTCTAACATAAGTGTCACAAACATTTAATACATAAATAATGTAAGTGATAATATCATAAAATATCAATATTTACATAAATTTTGTCCTTTGAGTATCGTATTTTAACATTGTTCAATAGAGTAGCTTCATTTAAATGCATTAAGGAACCTGATAAGATGAGATCATTAGATGGATATTTTTGAATACAAACAATTTTACTATTCTTACTTACAATTATCGTCGACATCCTTGCTGTCGAAATGGGGATCGGCTGTATACACTCGATCTAACGGTAACGTTAAACGGGTTCTGGACGCTCCCATCGGCTGAACAGTCACTTCGTCCATACCCAAGTCCATGATCGTGGCTAGGACGAAACCCTCCTTAGGTTCCGGAACCCAGACCACTTGTTCCATTCTGAAATACGCAGGCAAGTACAGCGGTTATTTATGTTAAAAAATAATTCCGAGATAAAAGTGTTTTGTCAAAATAAAACCATTTGCGTGCAGCAAATTTTTTTTTTTATGTGAAACCAACAAATAATTATACTAAAAATACATAGATACATAAATAATATATATGATATATATTATTACACTCCATGTAATACAATATGTACAGCAAGTCGAGATTACCTTTTAGCCATTTTTACCCCTTTAGATAGAATCGGGGAGTGCACCGAACGTACGATGTTGACCTTTTAAGGATTCATGAAAAACTTTTAGAGGAGTATGCGACGCATACACATGTTTACTGCAGGGGCCGGCCAAGGCTATTACTATTTCGTTCCCCATGTAATGACAAAAAGTTCTCACCTCACCGACCACCGTACCTAATAATATTTTGCACTCAGTGCTTCACGGTAAACAGGTCGCCTACATATAGTGATAACGGGCCACTCGATTGGTGCACGCATGTTTCTAACCACTGTTGATACGAAGCGCCTTACGGAGCATATTTCGCGCTTAGTCATACCAGTTATATAGTACATTACACTACTCTAAGCTGTTACATCTGCGTACTACGATTTAGTGTACCGTAATTATTGATGTAGCAACCAAAACGGGTTATTTTCAATATCATGAACAGAATAATGTTCAGCGCGCGGCGCACAGCCCACATGTGCCAAAATTATGTCTTCAACATGCGTAAGGCAATGACTCCGTTCCGGTGAAATACATTATCTTTAATAAGGCTAATATTTCATATTTTTATTTTTTTATAACGATTTAATAAATAATTTATATTCATCGATTTAAAAATATATGCAGCGAAATTCAGCGTTAAAAGTTATAATTAGCATTATGATGACAAAACATCATACAAAAATTGATGATCAATTTTTTATAGCAACAGCTTTTGTCGAAAAGAAAAAGTGCAATATTTTATCTTTTTTAAGATTTGGAAAACACTGTTCACCGTGTAGTGAAGGTAAAAATTGAATGTTTTTCAAATTAGAAATTATAAAAAAAAAGGGTACAATTACCAACGACCGATCGTCACAATGCGTTTAAATAAAGATTGGATGGAGATGGGATAGGTACAAGGTGCGAACGAATCGCAAGACACGTGTACGTGAAAAGGAAAAAGTACAAGGTGTTGAACAAACGAACTCTTGAACTTAAGAGGACGCCACACCGCCCATTTTTAAGGAGTAAAGTATAGGCAATTTTTTACAAAATCTTAACTATAAGGTTAAACTGTGATGTGTATCTATGAGTTCGGTAGTTAGGACTCTTTTTTAGTAGTTAAATTATTTTTCGGACTAACACAGCATCCTTGACAGCGATTTAAAAAAAAAAATTCTGTTGAATTGAGTTTTACGCGGATTAATTTTTCTCAGGCTTCATATATAGTTAAGGAAAGAAATTCATACATATTATTTATGACAAAATTATCTGTGTTCCATCATCCGCATTTTTTCGATATACCTAATACAACCAACGCTATATCGTTTTTAAAAAAGGCCTTTCTTAATTAATTAATTATTCATTAACTGGTTGAAAAATTTAAAAAAAAGGGCGATGGTAGAACACAGACAATGTTGTTGTCTATATTATGTGAAAATTTGGTTTCTTAGTTTTGATTACAGCCTTTGTAAAATTAATCCGCGCAAGGCGGGTTTTTTGAAGAAAATAACGGGTGTGTGGCGCCCTCTTAAGCTTGGGAAAGCGGTCAGCGGCAACCGAATTCTCTTGACAATTAGTGCATTGGAGTCGACTGGCGGAAAGGCATTGTCATTCATTGTCTTTTATATTGATTTAACTTTTGCAATTAATGATTACTTCTATTTTTTTCACTAACTTTAATTGTTTAGTCTAGAGTCGCCGGAAGCATTGGCCATTGCCTGTATTTATTTTTAAATAAATCATAATAATATGTTGATGACGCGGTCATCATAATATAACAGTTAGTCAGTAGTCACCGAATATTGGATAATGACATAATACAATTTTCTCGACCTAAACGTAGATCGGTCATAATGTTACTTAAATCAAATTCGCAGACACAATAGCCAAGACGATCGATAAATCTAACTTCGAAGTAGCACATAATATGTATAATCTATATATTATGCTCTACTACATTGTACCCGTAACAGTGTGGGGTAGTCATTTTATTATTACCTCTGTTATTACCATTATTATATTTGCCGTATGTGATTCACACATTATTATTATTATATCGCTTCGTCCGATGAAGTCTGAGCGCAATTTCAGGTGAATAGAAATGACATGTAGATATTACAGGTTTTATTGTGAACGCCGCCTTGGGAAACATTAAATAATACTCATATGGTCGAAGACGACGCGACGGCCGTTCGTTGGTCCACCGGTCAGCTACCGTGACTTTTACAGTTAACTCATAAGTAATAACATTATACCTATTCCACAATACTTGTTAGTCATCTCAATTCTCATCTACCCGACATTTCCTTACTTACCGGTATACTAAGCGTAAAGGTCAACTGCAAATGATATTATTTACTGTATGTTGGAACTAAATGCGAAAAAAATACCTAGTCCGATAAATAATTGCATCTATACAACGTAGTACAAATTATTGACGAAAAAATGTTTAACGAACAATAGCTATTACTTGTGTAATTGTGTATTATGGGTACCGAAGAAGCCTCTTAATAATGTGCACCACTTGGTAAAAAAATCACACAAAAAGTGGCCAAAAGTATACTTTCTCCAAGTATTAGGTTTTTAACTACCTATATATTTTAGTTAAGCAGCATTAATTAAAAAAAAAAATAATTTTTGGTTGCCTACTTAAGAAAACGCTGTTGAAAAAAGTAAATACATTTTAAAATACCTACTTTACTAGTTTTATATTTTTAAACCATTTTACAAGTACCCTAAGATATATCTTAAATAATGGAAAATTTCAGAATTAATATATGCATGGATTTTACATAGATTTCAATTATACCTATTCTATATTTTAGAATGTATTTACTTTTTTTTTACTCTGTTTTTTCTGTTTTTTTTTTTTTTATAAAAAGTAGGTAATCAAAAATTCTTATTTTGTAAAAAATAATGCGCGGTGACTTAGACATAGGCTAAATTTTATGGTTAAATGATTATTTTGAGAAAACATACTTTTGGCTACTTTTTATGTGGTTTCTGTCCACTTTGCGATGGATAGAAGATCTGCAAAAATCTGAAACACTCTGTCATTCAGTTTTAAGGTGACAGCCAGTAAATTATTTTTATTGTATTTATGACAATCGTCTAAATCAATCAGATCAATCAATTTCCTTATTCAATCGAAAATCGGAATATACTTACGTAAAGATAAAAAATACTCTATTTGTTGTTATTTAATAATTTAACCTCGGCTTTTAATTCAATATTATCGTATTCATCATCCTCAGATGGAAAACGAGTAATCGTAAGTTGTAAAGATTTTATTAAACCAATAGCTATTGAGAATCTTTACTTTGTAAACTTGAACTCACTTTTAATATAATTGAGAATAATGGCTCAAGCATATTAAGGGAAAATATAAAAGAGAAATATAATAAATATCCCTCTTAAAAATAGTCCAAAATTAAAACCAAATATACTATTAGATTCTAAATACAATCACGAATCACCCACTAGGCACTAGTAAAGTTTAAAGCAATCGATTATCGCCAGCTAAATATATGAGTACAGAGTACTATTAATATTTGTTTACACGTGTTGACCGCGGAAAATGGGGTAATGCTTTTGAAACCGATGCATTGAACTTGTACCCATGATATCAGAAAAAAATACATTTTTAAAATTCTGATAAAAAACTAAGTTTATGTTAAATGTATCATTTTTCCTTTTTGATTTTTCCTAAACAAATTTTCATGTGTAGCTGAAGGCTAAAGCTCAATAAGCCACACCCGTGCGCATGCTTATGGTGGATATCTTAAGGCCATTGTGACTTTGTCATTGGTTATTTATATTAATGTACAAGGGAGCTGCTGCGATAATGCGAAGACATATCGATTAAAAATCTTGTATTGTTTTAATGTTGTTTGGTTAGGCCGAGACTTAAATTTGGATGTCTTAGGGCCACATAGGCAGTAATTTGGATATTAACATTTGGTGTTTAGTGGTAGTCTTGATTTTTAAAACTGATTGAGAAAGTCAAGTCATACCTAACCACACAGACTTTAATATGTACAGAATTAGATAAAAGATATATTATAAGATAGGTATATAACTATTCGCGAATGTATAAATAAATTTAGTTGTAACACTTTTAAAAGTCTTTAATAGAATAATGTACTACGTAAGCTCTAAAATAGGTTTTTTTATTCACATTAGGTATGAATTGAACAAGTCCTGATATTTTCAGAGTAGAGAACAAGTATGGACAAGTTTAAGGTCCTATCCCAGCGAGTAACTTATTTTAATTTCAATGATTATTAATTAAATGCCAACGGTCAATCGATAGTCGAGTTATTTTTTATTTTTTTTTGTTTACAATGATTATTCCGGAAAAGATATAAAATATGAACAGGTTCAGTGTCCTAATTTTGCATAGCGGCAGTGATATAAATGTACAGTCTGTACAGTTAGTTTGTATAATTTAATTTTAAATATTCTTCATAACTTTACGAAAGGTCTGTTGGAAATTATAGTAAAGTCTCGACCAAGACGACAAAAACAATGTACCTAAATGTTCTAAAAACGAAATAAACGTACCTAAAATTATTCAAATGTTTAATGCAAAAGCACTAACGAATGTTTTTTTTTTTTTGTAACGTAAGTGGTATACAAGTCTACGCGACCACGAGTATACCATAGTATTATCAGCATTATTAGTTACCGCATTATAAACTTAATCTTCTAATTACAGTTAATCTCACTTTAATAGTGTCTTCTAGTACTCAGAATGAATGCAGAATTAACGTCCACGGTCTACAATAC